CCAAAGTTTTTTTTTTTCATCGTTCCGGATTCATCCGTGCAATCGGATTTTACAAAATCTCATTATATTGAGAGATATGGCAAATGGTATGGCACCATTCCAAGTTCCGACACTCAACAACAACAACTACGACAATTGGAGTATCAAAATGAAGGCACTTCTTGGATCACAAGATGTGTGGGATATCATAGAGAAAGGCTATAATGAGCCTGCGGATGATGATGTTTTTGCTACTCTTACACCAGATCAAAAGACAACTTTGAAGGATTCAAGAAAGAGAGACAAGAAGGCTCTCTACCTCATCTATCAAGCATTAGATGATGATGGTTTTGAAAAGATTTCAAGTGCAAGCTCTAGCAAGGAAGCGTGGGAGAAGCTGCAAACCTCTTACAAAGGATCCGAGCAAGTGAAGAAGGTTCGTCTCCAAACATTAAGAGGTGAATTCGAATCCTTAAACATGAAAGCATCTGAGTCTATTTCAGATTATTTCTCAAGAGTAGTAGCTGTTTCTAATCAATTAAAAAGAAATGGTGAAAAGTTAGACGATGTGAGGATAATAGAGAAGATACTCCGTTCGTTGGATCCCAAATTTGAGCACATCGTCGTGACGATTGAAGAAACTAAAGACTTGGAAGAAATGAAGATCGAACAGCTCCAAGGATCATTGCAAGCATACGAAGAGAAGCATAAAAAGAAGCATGAGTTTACTGAGCAACTCCTCAAGCTGCAACTCAAGGATATGCATGAGAGCCAACGCAATGATAGAAACCAACGTGGCCAAGGCAGAGGTAGAGGCCATGGACGAGGTGGAAGTCGAGGTCGTGGACGAGGCTGGAATTACAACAATAACAATTCCAACAACAACTATGAGAAAGGAGAAAGCTCAACACGAGGCCGTGGAAGAATTAATCCAAACTCAAAGTATGACAAATCTCAAATTCGATGTTATAATTGTCAAAATTTGGGCATTATGCTTCAGAATGTAGAGCTCCCAACAACAAAATTGAGGAGAAGGCCAATTACGTGGAGGAAAAGACAGATGGCAAAGAAACTCTTCTTCTAGCACGAAAGGAAACTGATGGTGGCCAAGCAAATTCCTGGTATCTTGACAGTGGTGCAAGCAATCACATGTGTGGAAGGAAAGACATGTTTGTGGAGCTAGACGAGTCAGTAAGTGGAAATGTTTCGTTTGGAGATGATTCCACAATAGCAGTGAAAGGGAGAGGTAACATTCTTATCCGTTTGAAAGATGGGAGACATCAATTTATTTCAAATGTCTACTATGTGCCCAATATGAAAAGTAACATTTTAAGTTTAGGACAACTGGTAGAGAAAGGTTATGATATTCATATGAATAATTATAATCTTTCTATAAAAGATGATAAGAATAACTTCATTGCTAAAGTGCCGATGTCAAAGAATAGAATGTTCTTGATCAACATACAAAATGATGTTGCAAAGTGCCTGAAAGCTTGCTACAAAGATGCATCATGGCTTTGGCATCTTCGATTTGGGCATCTAAATTTTGGAGGTCTAGAGCTATTATCTAAGAAGGAGATGGTGAAAGGACTACCTCACATCAACCATCCTGACCAACTCTGTGAAGGGTGTCTAGTCGGGAAACAATTCAGGAAAAGCTTTCCAAAGGAGTCAGAGACAAGAGCTAAGAAGCCACTTGAGCTCATCCATACCGATGTGTGTGGACCGATCAAGCCAAGTTCTCTCGGTAACAATAACTATTTTCTTCTCTTCATTGATGATTTTTCAAGAAAAACCTGGGTATATTTCTTGAAACAGAAGTCAGAAGTTTTTGAAGTATTCAAGAAGTTCAAAGCAGCAGTGGAGAGAGAAAGCGGTAGAAAGATCAAAGCCATGAGATCCGATCGAGGTGGAGAATTTACTTCCAGGGAGTTTCAAGAGTTCTGTGAAGCAAATGGAATTCGTCGACCAATGACAGTTCCTAGATCCCCCCAGCAAAATGGTGTGGCAGAAAGAAAGAATAGAACAATCCTCGACATGGCACGAAGCATGCTCAAAAGCAAGAAACTACCCAAAGAATTTTGGGCGGAAGCAGTATCGTGTGCAGTCTACTTGTCAAATCGATCTCCAACAAGAAGTGTATGGGGAAAGACACCGCAAGAGGCATGGAGTGGAAGAAAGCCTGGCATTTCCCACTTGAGAACCTTTGGAAGTATAGCCCATGTTCACGTACCAGACGAGAGAAGAACGAAGCTTGATGATAAAAGCGAGAGTTTTATCTTCATCGGCTATGATGCTAATTCGAAGGGCTACAAGTTGTACAATCCAGAAAATAAGAAGTTTGTGATTAGTCGAGATGTGGTCTTCAACGAAGAAGGAGAATGGGATTTTAACTCCCATACAGATGACTTCAATTTCTTTCCTCAGTTTGAAGAAGATGAGCAGACAATGAGGGAGCAACTAGATGAATCTCAACAAGAGCTTGCAACTCCACCCACTTCACCAACATCAACCACTCAAGGAGACTCATCACCTTCATCATCGTCAAGTGGGAGTCAAAGTGAAAGAGTTGTGCAACGCACAAGAAGCCTTAGAGATCTCTATGAGGTAACTGAACGACAAGATAATCTTACATTATTTTGTCTGTTTGCCGATTGTGAACCAGTGAGCTTTCAAGAAGCGGTACAAGAAAAGAAATGGAGATATGCGATGGACGAAGAAATCAAGGCCATCGAGAAGAATGACACATGGGAACTTACCTCACTTCCCAAGGGACATAAGGCGATAGGTGTCAAATGGGTGTACAAAACAAAGCAAAACGCCAAAGGAGAGATTGAAAGGCACAAGGCGAGGCTAGTTGCTAAAGGCTATAGTCAAAAGGCTGGAATTGACTATGATGAGGTATTTGCTCCTGTTGCTCGATTGGAGACTATCAGACTAATCATTTCTTTGGCAGCTCAAAACAAGTGGAAGATACAACAGATGGATGTAAAGTCCGCCTTCCTAAATGGAGTTCTTGAAGAGGAACTTTACATTCAGCAACCATCAGGCTATGAAGTCAAAGGGCATGAAGACAAGGTGTTGAAGTTGAAGAAGGCTCTTTACGGGCTAAAACAAGCACCAAGGGCATGGAATAGCCGAATCGACAAGTACTTCCAAGAGAATGGCTTCAACAAATGTCCCTACGAGCATGCTCTATATATCAAGATCAAAGATGAAGATATTTTGATCGTGTGCCTCTACGTGGACGATTTGATCTTCACTGGAAGCAACCCAAGCATGTTTAATGAATTCAAGGATGTGATGATGAAAGAATTCGAGATGACAGACATGGGGCTCATGGCGTACTACCTTGGCATTGAAGTTAAGCAACAAAATGATGGAATTTTCATTTCACAGGAAAGCTATGCAAAGGAGATACTGAAGAAGTTCAAGATGGAGAACTGTAAGCCAATAAGCACACCGGCAGAATACGAGATCAAGTTTAAGGGAGGGTGTTGGATCATAAACTTGATCCATTATGGGAGCCTAAACCCAAACCCAAACTAAATTGATGTCATTACTTACATCATTTAATTAAAGATGTCATTGCTTACATCATTTAATTAATGATGTCATTGCTTACATCAATTTAGTTAGGTGAGAGTTAGATATTTGTTGAATTTGTAATGGTTTAAATTAGTTTATTTGTGTGGTGTAGGATTGTTCTTGAGTAGTATAAATATCCCTTCCCATTTTAGTTTTAAGCATCAAGAAAAATTAAGAGCTTCTAAGTGAGTGAAGAAGCAAAGTCTTATAAGAGTGAGTTGTAGTTCTTGTTTTTGAGTGAGAGTACTCTTGTAATATTTGTTTGAGTTTCAATAAAAGTTGTTTGTGTGAGTGTTTTATTTCCAACATTGAAGGTCTAATCCCTGGTAGAGTATGATAGCAAAGATAAGGAAGAGAAAAGAAGTAAAAGGCGAAGCAAATAAAATGACCCAGTCAAAAGGTGTTAAGTCCGTCCGCTCATATAACGTGCCACATCAGCATTCTCTTACCCCACTAACGACTGCTAACAGGAAGTAAATCACTAGGAATGGTAATCGGGAGGATTGGATGTGGATACCCCTTCCTTATTTCTATACCCACCTAATATTTTTTAATCTATCACCCGCTCACCACCTATGATAGGTATAAATTTTTAAATCAACACCCGTTCACGCGGTACATTTTTAAATTCATCCCCACACCTACTATCTACTAGCAACATACCCATATAAATCCGCCTGACAGCAAACTAATGGGATGTTGGAGTTGATTCTCAGACAATTCGTGATGGGGTAGCAGCGCATGCTTCAATTTGTTAAAGGAGTAGCTCTACGAATGTTATGGAGACAAATTGTAGGGAGCATGTAGTCGCAAAGCTGGATTATTGTGTTGCTTTCGATGTTAATGCTCATAATGCGCCTAATATGGGGTTTGAGGGGCTAAAGAAAATAAAAATTACTGCTTTTGATGTTAATAATTATAGTACGGTTAATTTGTGTTTGGATAGACAACATATGCTAAAGAACATAGAAAGTGACGTGGTTAGTAGGATTATAGGTTTAATCAAAGAGTCGAATATTTTCCTAATTAAAAATCAGATTAAAGACTAAATATCCTTAATATTTGGATAAATTATATGTTATATATTATACAATATTAAAATTTATAAATTAGTTTCTAAAATTATACCTAAATTCATAATGGTCCAAAATTTAATAGATATTTAGCTGGGTGGACGGATGTGGGGCGGGTAATGTCTCAAACTCATTATCCGCCCACCACCCACGACGGGTACCACTTTATAAATCCACACCCGCCCACTACCTGCTAAAATTATACCTATCCCCGCTCCAATTAGAACAGATGCGGTACGAAATCCACAAAACTGTACCCATTTACCATCCCTAAGTAAATAATTATTATATTACAAATCTTAATATTAGTGAATAATATGTTGTTTTTGAAATTACAAACTATACTGCCAAGTTCCATCAGGTATTAGTGGCATCCCTCGTAATTTTTCCTAAACTCTCTGCTTATGTCAAAAAATAACCCTTCTGTTGAGCATTTTAGAAGAGAAGAGAAGAGAAGAGAAAAATAGAATCCCACAAAACCGAGAAAACAAAAGCTCATCAAGTTTCAACTCAAAGTTGCAAGTGACTCACAAACCTCTCTCAATTTTTTCTTTTTTTTTCTGTCTGCTTTTTTTGAGTAATTTCCCCACTTGTTGTGTCTGCAAGTGAAACACAAATGGAGCAAACTTTGGCCATCGTCAAGCTTGAAGCTTGTGGTATTATCTAGGAGAAAAAAGTTCCTTTTTTCTTCTTTTGTTTAACTTGGTTCAGTAGTATTTGTTAAAAGATAACAAAAGGGTTGATGGGGAGAGGTTGCAGGAAGATGATAGCAGGAAATTTGGATCCAGAAAGAAAAAGAAGCGGTGGGTTGAGAACCAAGCAGGCTGGTAGAGGCTCTTGTAGAGGAAGTTAGCTTTAGTTGCTCCTTTTTTCATGTTTCTTCAGTGTGGGATATTATAAAAATTGCACCTTGAGTTGTTTTTTTGTTGGCTTCTTTGCCTCAATATTATATATATGATCTTTGAGAAGAAGAGGATAAAAGGAGAAGAGTGATGGGTGGTTTGTTGAAAGAAACTTTGAAGTCACTTTGTGGGGTGAACCAGTGGTCTTATGCTGTCTTTTGTAAGATCGGCTGCCAGAATTCTAAGTAAGTTTCTATGTTTGCTTTTGCCTTTTCTTTTGGGGTTGTTTGGTTGTGGAGAAAATCGAAGGGAAAATAAGAGAACATTTAGTGTTTTTCTATAGTGCTATGCATATGCGTGTATCTTCATTTGGTTTAGCTAATAAAGTAGAAACAAAATACTCCACACACACACACACACAAAGTGAACTTTTTTAATGGTTTTCTTGGCAACCAAGTAGAGGAGGAGATCCGCCATTGCTGATAGTATTTTCTCGCACAAAACTATTTTTTTTTTACTCTTGAGGTGCAAAACTTGCTTTAAGGCGTGTTGAACTTTGATTGGTTACCGTTATCTTGTAATTTTTCTTTTGATTTATGATCTGGTGCTGCTTTTTCTTTTCTACTTTTGGCACTTTGTGTTTTGGATTATTCTGTTTTGTCTTAAAGAATCATATTGAAAAGTAGATGTGTATTTTAAGTTTGACAAGAAACCTTCTTGTATTGGACCAGTTCACTGCTGAAATCCATTGATTCAGAAATTTGTTTTCCTTTTATTGATCGAGTAGAATCTACTCTTAGGGAACGATTGATTCATGGAATGTAAGATTATCTAGGAATAGGATTAATCAGAATGTTGTATTTTGTGTTTGGTTAGTTTATCAGAAATGTAAAATTATCTTGTTTGGTTAAAGGAATAAAAGATTATTGAATTTATATTTGACCAAATTGGCCTTATTATATATTTGTTTTTTTAACAAGTTCAAAAATATTTATATATATTTTTTAAAAAAATTTAAAATTAATAAAATTTATATATATATTTTTACAAAATTGACAATGTAAAAAGGTTTAATGAAAGAGTAAAATTTTATATTAACCCCTGAACTTCATATAAAATTTTAATTATAGATCTTTTTATAAATCTAAAATAGTTTAAGGATAAATTTGTAATTTAACTTTTGTAGAATTTTTATTATTCAATAACAGAAGAAGAATATTTTTGAAAAAAAAATCTAAAGACATTTTAGTCCAAAACGCCGGTAATCCAACGATACCTAAAGAAAGAGAGATAATGACATTCTCGATAATATACCTAAAAATCTAATATTGGTAATAAAATATTACCGGGAATGAGATTCTCGTCCAACCAAATATGGGAATGTGGATTTCATTCCCATGATAATCCCACATTCCTTGATCCAAACAGCCCCTTAGTTGCTTTTGTCCTGGCCTGTTTGGCCGCTGGAGAAAATGTAGAGAAAAGAAACAATATTAGAAACCTGGACAATTCACTTTTTTGTTATGTTTTCTAAACTTATTACCCCCAATTGGATGAGATATCTCGGAGTTAAATGGCATTATATGCATTTATTTTCATTTGTAATCTCCTTTGATTGATGGCTAAACTTTTGGCATCATTTGCCTTAGTGTCTGTTTGAAGAGTTTAACTATTTTTGCCTTCTTAAAAGAAGAAAATTGTTTGTCTTCCTGGCCTAAACCGGGTGTTTTATGCTTTGCAGGTTACTAATTTGGGAGGAATGTTACTATGAACCTGCACCGTCCTGGGTCCCTCCATGCATTGCCGGACTTCAGAATCCCGAATTGTCATTCCGAGAGCAGGAGGGATGCTGGCATTCGGAAAGTTCTTCTCAATTTGGGAGTCGAACATGGGACGATAAAGTCCATTTGCTGATAAACAAAACGATGACTAATAATCGCTTTAATATAGTTGGGCAAGGGTAAGCCTAAGCTTTTCAATGCTGTCCAGTTTTCTGCTTACAGATTATTTAATCAATCTCTTTTAAAGTTCTTGTCCTTCTTTATTCAAAAAAAGGAATTGTGAGGAACTGCTTTCTTTGTTTTTCAGATTAGTTGGCCAAGCGGCATTTACTGGTAAGCATCAGTGGATTCTTGCAGATAATTACACTACAGATGCCCACCCCCCAGAGGTATATTACTAATTGTAACTTCTGAGTTCTCCAAGCATCAAATGTTAAACACAACAAACTTGTTCTTTTTTGATGCATCAACTCTTAAGATGTGATAACAAGTTCAGATGGTAACTGAATATAAATAGATGTTTTCTCATGAACTTTCTTTCACGGTAATTGTCTAGGTAGTGTCATGTAACAAAACATAGCATGACATTTTTGTGTGCATGCTTCTAGGTTCTAAATGAGGTCCACCTCCAATTTTCAGCTGGCATGCAGGTTTGATAATTTTTTTCGGCTCTAGCTCTTTATTTTTCCTCTCTGCTTCATTATTTGACTTTTATCCACTTCAGACTGTTGCAGTTATTCCTGTTCATCCTCATGGGGTTCTTCAGCTCGGTTCTTCCACGACTGTAAGCAACTTAACTGTGCATGCTTGATGTTTTACCCTATTAGTTGCCTTGAAGCTCAAGTGTTTTCCTGTTCTTCTTCAGATTATGGAGAACATGGGATTTCTGAACGATGTGAAGAGATTAATTCTCGGTTTGGGATGCATCCCTGGAGCTCTTCTCTCTAACAGCTACAGAGCAAATGAATGCATTGGGAAAACCAGGATTCCCATTTCCTTAGAAAATCCCATTGCAATGGATTCAGCTGGAATTTTTAGGCCTGCAAATTCCATGACTTTAGTTTCTGATGGCTGTAACCAACAAAGCAATTCATCTCAGGCTTCCATGGTTATGGGCCAATCATCTTCCCTGATCAAACATATTCAAGAAACCTCCCAGGCTAGACCTCATGATGATCACTGTGAATCAAAAATCAGCCCAGAGATGAAGCCAAACCTGAATTTTAGAAGTCAAATGGAATCTGGAGTTTTCGGTGCTGAAGTAATTCACTCCAACTCGGCTTTGTGGCTGAACCCTCAAGTTTCTTTTTGCAACTCAAGTTCTAGGTTCAACTGTCTGCCCATGATTGGTCAACCAATTGCCAGTCATAGCAGCATAAAATCAATGGAGCAACAGGTTTTATCAGATGTCCTACGGAATCATGTTGACAATAACATTACTGCACCAAATAGTCAAGTGAATCCAAAATCAATCCCAGGCATTGTTACAAAATTGCAAAACCTAGAAGTTGTTACTTCTTGCACACGATTAGCGGGGAACATGGTTCAGCAAGTTGGTTCGTCTACGGTGGAGGTTCCTTTATCCATCCTGACAGATCAGTTAACGACTAGTATGCTTTCAGGACTTCCAAATCGAGGACACAACTTTGAGAAACTTGTGTGTATTCCAAAGAAGAAAAGTACAGATAATGATTTGTTTGAAGCACTGAGGATCCCGCTTCCCCATGCTGATGATGGCATGCCTTTTCCTGAGCGACTTCCAAGTGCTTTTCATGATATTGTGAAGCATGAAAGTGGAAGTTCGAGTACTAGATCCTTGAATGTTAACTATGGAGATGCATACGTCCAGCCTCCACCAGGAGATGACTTGTTTGATGTATTGGGGGCAGATTTAAAGAATAAATTGCTTGGCAGGAAATGTAACAATGTTCTTGGCAAGGGACAAGATTTGAACATGCAAAATGTGGGCAAGGATACTTCAATATTTAAGGATATGCTCAATTTGTTTTCTGATCATTGTTCTGCTGGTGAAGGGATTTCCAACCGGGTTATTTATTCTGGGGTGGGTAAAGATCATCTTTTGGATTCTGTGGTTTCTAGTGTCCATTCTGCTGCAAAGCAGATATCAGATGATAACATGTCCTGCAGGACAACATTGACAAAGTTCAGTAATGTATCTGTTCCTAGTAGTTCCACTACCTTTGGTCTGGTTAACATTTCCAACCAAGTTCGTGGGGAGTTACTAGGTGATCTTCCTAAGTCTCCGTTGAAGGGAGGAACTCTTCCATCCATTTCTTGTCGATCTGGCTGTAGCAAGGATGATGCTGGAACTTATTCTCAGATTACTTCAATGTATGGGTCTCAAATCAGTTCATTGGTTGAGCAGGGTCATAATTCAAGGCATGGTACGAGTGTTGCTACTGCAGACTCGAAAAGGAACAATGATACAACTAAACCAAATTGCAAAAGACTAAAACCTGGAGAGAACTCTCGACTCAGGCCAAAAGATCGCCAGATGATTCAAGATCGAGTGAAGGATTTGAGGGAAATTGTACCAAATGGAGCGAAAGTAATGCATATTTTTAACTTGATATACCTAAATTCTGTGCTATGCTTTTACCGTAATGAATGTTGTCATTAATGTCCACCCTTTAATGTGATTCAACAGTGTAGCATAGATGCTCTTCTTGAAAAAACCATCAAGCATATGCTTTTCCTACAAAGTGTTACGAAACATGCAGACAAGTTAAAACAAACAGGAGAGTCTAAGGTATGGCAATTATTTTATGCTTGTAATCTAGTTCTCCTATGTGTCCTATGTTCTAAAATGTTTATTTATCAGATCTTGTTGCGGTTGGTTGTGGTGACATTGCTATCTCAGATGTCTGAGAAGCAATGTTCTTATATGCATACTATATTCTCTGATGTCTTTTGTACAATAAATGTCAACTGGCAGTATTATATCCGTGGAAGCTTTTAGACTTTAAGATGTTTGAGTTTGCAGATAAAGGAGAACTTTGAGGGAGGTGCGACATGGGCATTTGAGGTCGGCTCACAATCTATGCTGTGCCCTATTGTGGTTGAGGATCTCAATATACCTCGTCAGATGCTTGTAGAGGTGGGACTCTTTCATTTGAAGCTGCCTTAAATTTATCTTCATTGTTCCATCTGTGTGACCGCATTTTGTTTACGTCCCATGACAGATGCTTTGCGAAGAACGGGGTTTCTTCCTGGAAATAGCCGACTTTATCAGAGGGTTGGGATTGACCATCTTGAAGGGAGTTATGGAAACTAGGAGTGACAAGATCTGGGCACGTTTCACTGTGGAGGTAAGATCTTACGAGTATCCGATTCCAATATGTGTTTGTTCCGGTCAATCATACCAATTAATTGATTAATGTTATGCAGTCCAGTTACATTTCTACTCTGCAATTATTAGGCAGAGTACGAATGAGAATATTGTAGCAATATTTTCTAGGATATTATTGACTTGTAGAGACAATGTAATTTCCGTTACATTACATTTGTTTCTTTCGCATGGCAAAAATAAACTATTATTCGAATTGTTGTCATTTAACTAGAGTTTTCCGGTACAGGCAAACAGGGATGTTACGAGGGTGGAGATATTTATGTCACTTGTTCGTCTTCTGGAGCAAACTGCAAAGGGCAACAGCGCTTCATCTGCCAATGCGTTCAATAGCAACATGGTGGTTCGACACTCGTTTCCTGAAGCTGCATACATACCCGCGACCGGTAGGGCCAGTAGTTTACAGTGAACCACCTTGCTCCCCGGTATTCCGGTTTGTAGACATGTTAAGAGCGGGCCCTATATTTGCTTGCCGTGACTAACATACAGTCTCTAGATTCGGTGGTTCGGACCTCGACTAACCTCTTTTTCGCTGACCTTGCCCTCGTGGGCGGGATTTGTTTAGGTAATGAAAACTTGTCCAGAGCTTTTAAATGGCATGTATTCGGATTTTGCTGGACCATTTGATGAATTTTATCGTTTCGTGTAATCGTATTGTGTTCATAATATGCACGGGTTTGCCAGCAGCTAAGGGACTGCATTTTGATTTTCTGCTAATCTGTGCATCTGCGGAGTGATGGTCTATTTAAGTTCAATAAAAATAATCCTAAACTAATAAAAAAATAAGATATATATCTTAAATTCGGGGTGACATGCTGGCTAAAATTCTAAACCTAAACCAGAGCAAGCTGACCCACCCATGAACATATTTATTACAGAAAATGATGTATATATATGAAATTGAGGTAGATTTGCATGTATATATAATATATGAAAATTATTTTAAAAATATTGATACATCTTAAACAGTAAACCGAAACACACTAATACATAAAAAAATATTTTGAAAACACTGAAAGTTATTAAACCCTAAACCCAAACACACTAATATCTTGGTTCTACAACATCAGTGAGTTATATCAAAACAAATCATCAATAAATTAATAATTTTTTTTATTAATTTGTGGTTAAGTATAAGGTAGTATATGTTCAAAGTCAACTTTCAACTATTTGAACGCTCACATTCATGACATTTATAATGCTCAAACTCGAAACCTTAGGGAATAGCAATAATTTTTTTACCATCAAAATCGTTTGGTTCGTGCGAATTAATAAAATTTTTAAAAATACTTAGAATAAGCTATAACTTGCATATATTTATTTTTTTAGTAGATTATCGATAATATATAAAATTATATATCATTACTAAGTTTCTTGAGACAAATCTTTAAAGGAAAAAAGAAAGGGGCAATAACTTGCATGAATTGATGATGATAAAAATGTAAAAGAATAATGGAAAAATGAATGAAAATATAGTTGTTAAAATTCGCAACGTGGAATCGTATACCATAGCAAGGGTTGGAATTTGGAGGAGGAGCTGGAAACTGCAAAAACAAAAGAGACATTGTTGATATAAACCCTAATATTATTCCCCAAAGAACTTGAACAACATATACGAATGAAAGCAAGTAGATGAGTGAATATTCTACATGTCTACATATATTAATAATTTATTTTAGCCTTCCCAGAATTTTATATATTTATCCATTTAAAATTTTAAAAAATCGTTCCATAAGATAAAATTAAGCGTCCATCCCTAATCATGTTTCATGACTAAACTTGGATCCACCATCGTACGTTATTTATAGATATATAGCATTTTCGGGCAATTTCTTCTTCTTCTTATTTGTTTCCCATGCAGCCTGATATCAATGCATGTCGACTCGAGAGTTGCTTAATTTCTAAAATAATGTCATCAATCATATTATTCCCACAGGATTCTCGGTACTTATCCAACCATTTTTTTAATTCATTCGATTCTTTCATACGAAATTAAATAGTTTTTAGACAATGAAAATTGTAATTCGGACAAATGTTGTGTATTTTCTTTTCAACACGAAATAAATTTTAGGGTAAAATATAAAAATGGTCCCCGACTAGAAGGTGTTGCTTTATTGAGTTCCCTGACTATTAAAAGTTACAAAATCATCATCTGACTATAGGGTGTTGCTTTATTGAGTTCTTCGACAATTAACAGTTACAAACTGGTCACTTGACTATTCATATGTTCCAAACTCATCATTTTCCGCTAAAAATCGACGACGGTATGAGCTGGAAGTTAACCTGCTGATTGGATTATGATAAAATCTGATCACAGAATCTCAAACGACTATCATATCTCAGTTAACATGTTAACGTACAGTTCAAACGAACGTCAATTTTTTTAACGAAAAAGAACGAGTTTAGAACATATTAATAGTTGGGTAATCATTTTGTAACTTTTAATAGTCAAGTGACTCAACAAAGCAACACCCTATAGTCGAAGGATCATTTTGTAACTTTTAATAGTTGGGAAACTCAACAAAGAAATATCCTATAATCGAAGGACCATCGTGTACTTTACCCTAAATTTTAGTTTCCTAGATGAATGGTTTAGATTGAAGCAACATTATTTAATATATATATATATTTGGTCTCAGATTCCCACAATATTCAATAATCATATTCAACTCTAATTAACACTTTGTTTGATTGGATGAAAATATTGAACGATAAAAACATAGAAATATATTTTTAAAGTATTTTTTTATAGAAAAAAATGTGAGATAATATCATTTTTATTTTATTTTCGTGTGTAAAAATAAATAATTGAAATTTGAAAGGAAAAAAAAGAGATAAAAAGTGAAAGAGATAAGGGTTAGTACAACATATATAATTTTTAGAGAGTATCAAGCTCCTTAGCTCTCGATTAAGAGGCATGAACAACATTATTTTTGGTTTAACCATCGATATTCAATCTGATAATCAACTAATCCATATATAATATAGTAGAGACTTATTGTGGAGTCGATCGTCCGGGTTCAATTTATTTAATCTATAATATCAAGTCCGAATGTCTTTACTTAGAGTATATTAATGTCTAAGTTGTTATTGAATTGATAAAAATCTTGTTAATATAGGTAAAGAAGTCGGGTCTTATTTGTGAAAGAAAGGCATATATTCTGAATTCTGATGATATGAGCGGATGTCGAGCAACTTCTCTTTTGTTAGAAGGGGCATTCACAGCAAATATTTTGAAGCTTTCGTTTTTATCTTTAATTTGTACGCTAATTAGAGTTCAACCCCCAAAAAAGATGGTATTTTTCTAATTTTCTTGTCTTTTATGCCATCATCCTATTTTAAGAAAATAATTTATGTGGAAGAAATTAAAAGCATTAATTTTTTAACAATACCCCTCAAAAAAGAATAATATTTGAGTTAACTTTTACTTTTTTTTTAATAATAAGAACATAGTTTTGAATTTAGGTTCTTTTTTTCTATAATATTAATGCCAACAAATTAAACTCAAGCTATAGAAAACTAATTAAGAGTTATAGTTGTTTAAAGATAAAAATCGATTCTTAGAAAATGAAAATATGTGAAGTTAGAAAACAATAAAAAAATATTTTCATTATTTCGTTAAGTATATTTTATAAAATTAAAATATACCCATTATTCTTTGTGTTACAATAAACTATTTTAGAATCCATTTAATAATTTTTGGAAAAACTCATTTAATAATTAAATTTTAAGTACGAACCAACTTACCTCATATGTTAAAAGAATCATTGTTGTTCCTAGAGGTTACAGTTTCAAGCACCAGCGACTGAAAGAGTGATTGAACGTTCATTGTCAAATGATTAAGAGTACTTAAAATATATACTACTTTATAATCATGTTTAGCTTAATAAAAATATGAAATAATTAAAATTTTCATTACGTTAATAGACAAATAATTATCTATACACTTTATATTATTCTTTGTAAATATTTTAATGATATGTTTTTCTTTTTGAAAAGTTTTTGTGATTTGTTAAACGCACCTATGCATGTTAAAATAAATAAACAAATAGAAAACGTCAATTCAATTTGAAATTAAAGAGTAATAATTAAAATATAATAAAATTAAATATTAGTTATTGTCAGGGATGGATCGGATCTTGAAAATTTAAAATTATTATATATTTTAGATTTTTTAATATATTTTCTACTAAAAGTCTATTTTTATTTTTTTAAATTTTATAAATTCGTTCTCACTTAAAATTTTAAAAATTTACATCCTAATATAAAATTTGTATTCTTCTTTAATTATTATAAAAGTTAAAAGAGGCACGATGACGTGGATAAAAGGATAGATGAAGCATCTTGGACCAAATAAAAACTTTGGCTTCCAGGTTACATATATCTTTTTGGCCGATATAGAAAGCTGTGTTGGTTGGCAAGAGATGTGATTGCGCATATATAAGGGCATACTTGTACTTTTATGTTGTATATATAATTAATAATTTCGAATTTACAAATTTAAAATAAAAGCTTAAATTTTAATTTCTCGAGGTTCTTCTTATAGTTTCAATTCGTATTAGAACCATGATGCTTACTAGATTAATTGTACAATATATACAAATTTGAAATTATTAAATTATATATATGCAAGAGATGTGATTTTGCATATTTAAGGGCATATTTGGTTCAGTTAAAATTAAAATTAAACAATAAAATGATTAATTATACAATATGTAAACATTAATATAAAAACATTTTTTACTATTTAATTATGTGCAAACTATAATGAATTAAGTGTTAGTCGTATTTGAACATCACTTTAAGAAACAATGAACCATACACCATCCATCATAGGACTCATATATTCACATTGCAGTTGTTTGGTGCACATGAATAAAGTGTTTTATTAGTATGTGATAATTATAATAGAGTATCTATTTGAAAATCTCTCAATTATTTGATAATAAATATTTAAATATTTCTACAAACATCATCCTCGAATCTATGACATTTAAGAATAAAAACTATCTATTTTATCATTGAGACCGCTTCATTCATGTCTAATCTTTTAAATTTAAATAATCAAAAACGACAAATATATTTCTTGTGATCAATAAAAGAGCATAATGGTGATTTAAATGATTAAACGAATTCTGGTCAATCAGACAAGATCGATTTTTTTAATGAAATTCAAGTTTTAGATCGGTTTTTTTTCTTAAACGTGATCCTTTTAAATTGAGTCGAGTCGGAGTTGAAATTGAATATTCAATCAAAATTTTGAATCAAATACGAATTGGATAAAAATATTTTTAAAAACTAATTGAGTCGAAATCCAAGTTTATTTTCATAATGTCAGGTCGGATTCAGATCCACCAAAAATCCATCCCCTATCCGACCTGTTAGACATTCCTATTATCCATCCAATTCGCTGGAACTAATTGAATGCCTTGAAACGTATTAGAATACAAATCTTCAACATGATATAGTTCGCAGTGCTTCTCCCCACCTGCCTATGGAGCTTAGCTCAGAATCATGACCCCAAACACCTAGTACTCCACAAGACGCAAAGCTAAATAATATGCATCCTTTTTCTCAAAATAATTATTTAGCATGCATATTGGTTTGCAAATGAGGAAGCAAAATATGGAAATGGGGCGTTTCCATTTTCGATCAGGGTTGGGGAAAGAGCATGCATCCAGGAGTGAATAGAAGAGAGTGTTGGAGTCGGCTGCATCCCATGAAAATTTTAAATATTTATATAATTTAAATATTTTTTATTTTTATCAATGATTTAATTTTGCATATTCTGAATTAAGTTCGTACCTCATAAATAAAATCCTACGTCCGTTCCTGCATGCATCGCCTGGAGTTAACAGGTATGACTGGTAGATGCTTGTTTTCCATACAAGTAGAGAGACCCACAAATCGTGCTTTGTAAAGGCATCAAGGCATATTCTTCCTGGTAATCTCTTTATAATCTCTCTACTTGTGTTCTTTGTTCATGCAAGCCTTTTCATTTCTTGGATTTTGCATTTATCTCGATTCTCGATATACCATCTAAGTTGAATGCTATGGATTTAGAGAATGGAAATCAAGAACCAGTAAAACAAGGCCTGCTTGCCCGTGGGTGGTCAAAGATTAAGGCCTTTAGCAACAATGTTAAGACCGAGGTGCTCGAATTCTTCGGAACCTTAAGAAAACTCGGCCAAGATGACCCAAGAAGAGTGGTTCATTCATTGAAAGCCGGACTCGCGCTCACCTTAGTCTCATTGTTCTATACCTACCAGCCATTGTACAACAGCTTCGGCTTTTCTGCAATGTGGGCTGTGATCACCGTGGTCGTCGTCTTCGAATTTTCTGTCGGTATGTTTCGTCACACCCTACTCGAATAGTATGACATAAAATGGATCTCGAAGATGAAAAAAAAAATTTATTTCAACAGGGGCTACTCTGGGGAAAGGAGTGAATAGAGGATTGGCAACGTTGCTTGCTGGTGCTTTAGCTGTCGGGGCTCATCAACTGGCTAAAACATCGGGACGTATATGCGAGCCCGTAGTACTCGGGTTCTTCGTCTTCCTCCAGGGTATAATAAAACTAGCACTTGAAAACTATATGCATCCAAAATTCTCATTTTCCCCAGTTTGCACTCACAACTTAGTATTTATATATGTGCAGCTGCGGTATCGACGTTTGCGAGATTCTGCCCCAAAATCAAGGCTAGATATGATTATGGATTGTTGGTATTCATCTTGACATTCTCTTTGATATCCATATCGGGATTTCGAGATGATGAAATACTGGAACTGGTTCACAAGAGATTGTTAACCGTTCTCATAGGTGGCTCAACCTGTGTCATAATTTCCGTTTTGCTTTTCCCTGTGTGGGCCGGTCAAGACCTTCACAACTTGATCGCTTCCAACATGGAAAAACTTGGCATCTTCCTAGAAGGTACCCATAAAAATAAATAAAAAAGCAATGTATCTGTCACGATTCGGTCCGACATATTCGAACTCGTGTTCTTGTGTACAATGTATGCAGGGTTTGGAGACGAATACTTTAAAATGGAAGAGGATGGAGAGTCGAAAGAAGGTGGATCCTTGTTGCAGGGATATAAAAGTGTTCTCAACTCGAAAAACAACGAAGAGGCCTTGGTGGGTTAAAAATGCTCTAGCTCTTGGAAATGTTTGTTTAATTTTCTGATGTTAGCTTTAACCTGTAGGCTAATTTTGCAAGATGGGAGCCGAGGCATGGCCGGTTTCAATTCCAACATCCATGGAAACAGTACCTGAAGATCGGAGCTCTAACACGCCAGTGTGCGTACCGAATCGAATCACTCAACGGACACCTCCACGCCGACGTTCGAGTATTGTATCTGAATCTCCACTACTCGAATTCATATGTACGTAGCTAACATGTCATTTTTATCCTACCATTGGCAGGCAAAACCTGAAATCCGAAGTAAAATCCAATTGACATGCACGAAAATAAGCATGGAATCTGGTGAAGCATTGAAGGAACTGTCGATGGCGATCAAAACGATGGTGAAACCTTTTTCCGCGGATATCCATATCGAGAACTCGAAATCGAACGTAAAGAATCTCAACTCTTTGCTCAAATCAGGGTTATGGGATGATAAAACGGACCTCTTGGAAGTGTTGCCGTTGGCTACAGTAGCTTCGTTGTTAATCGATGTGGTCAGTTGCACAGCCAAAATTGCGGAATCTGTTCATGAACTTGCCACTAAGCTGAATTTCGAAGCCGTTGAGCCGACTGTCGCACCGGAGACGGAACTTTGAAATTTGATATCTTAGTCGAGAAATGGGAATTCCGCTTCAACAACAACGAAATAATTGTAGTAGTAAACGGTAGAATTCTCCTACCCCTATTCTATGCCCCATCACTAATATTATGACACGTGGATTAATATTAATTAGTAAACTAGCGTCAATTTATCATTAACTTTCTTTTCTTCACTGTTCATTTAATGCTTTTTATTTTCTTCGTAGAACAAACCCAACCGGTTTAGTAATTTAAAAAAAATCATTTAATTTATTTTTTCTAAATTATTTAGTTTTTTATATAATTAAAATTTATTTTTTAAAAATTTAAAACAATTCATTCGTTTAACTTTATCTTTTTTCATGTTGAATTTTTATATTTTATTTTTTTTGAATTTTAAATAAATCATAAACCCTAAACTCCAAAACCCTAACCTCTAAATCACAAAGCCTAAAACCATAAACACCAAATCCCAAACTATAAAACCCTAAATTCTAATCCCTAAACCTTAAACCTCAAACACAAACCCTTATTTCATTCATAAAAATAAAAAAAAATAAAATCTAAGTTCAACATGAAAAAAAGTAAAGTTAACCGAATAAATTATTTTAAATTTTAAAAAAATAAATTTAGTTATAGATAAAATAAATAATTTAGAAAAATAAATTAAATGAAAAAATTGGTTGTTCTCTCGGTTCTCAAGGTTTCGCCTTGAGTAATCCAGACCGACTCGGGTCGCACACCTAGTTGTGGTGAGTGAGTCTCCCAGTAGAGATTTTCTGCATATACAAGGACTCGAACTCGAACTCGAGACTTACTTAAGCGATATCAAACCGCTTAAATCAAAATATCACCACAAGCACTTGACAAATTTAACCATTTCACAAGCACCCAAAACCTCCACAAAATATCACCACAGTCCATTCGCCCACCATCACTTGAATCTCCTCATTGTCGAAACCTAACCCAACCCTAGACTAAACCAACCAAAACATATCAAAGGAAAATGGAAAAATAATATAACATCCTAAATCTGACCCAATATATTGAAGGGTTTAATATGTCACATTGAATCATTAAAGCGATAGCTGAATTCAAAAGCTTTTAAAATTTATATTTTTATATAAATAAAACTTAGGTTGATATATCAAGTACTTTTAATTTAGTTAAATGTATCAAGTACTTTTGAAGCATTTATATAAAATACAAACAAAGCATAATAAAACAAAAGCATTTGTACAAAATTAGGAGTTTTAAATATAACACAATAATCAAAATGATAATTAAAATTTCAAACTTAAATACTAATAAAGTCTTATGAACAGGGATGGATGGATGGAAGAGAGCAAGTGGGGGCAGTCGTCATTTCTGAAAATTTCAAATAATTATATATTTTAGATTTTTTTTCGTATTTTCTATTGAAAATATGTTTTTCTACTTTTTTGTATTTTCTATTGATAATATGTTTTCCCCATAGAATTTTAGAAGTTCAATCCCTCTTAAAATTTTAAATTTTCACCCCTACGATAAAATCATGCGTCCATCCATCCTTATGAAGACATGTGACTACTAAAGTAAATCAAATATTATATTTTGCATAGGAGGCACAAAAGATCCATCGGCCACGATGCTCATCGGACCTAAACACAAATCTACTAACAAATGAAAGAAAACAATTCGAGTGCTAAACTTTACGAGTCCAATAGTACATATACACTCTAATATACTTTATGCAGTTTATAAACATAAATAAGCAAATTAAACATAAAAAGAAATAAAGGCATGTCATAGACATCATAACTAACTTAATCATCCAGGCTTAACATACTAATAATTATGTACCAAGATTTACATCCAAAATTTGCTTTTACATAACAATTCGAACAAATATATCATATGTAAGGTAATACATGATTTTCAATATTTTTTCTACCCATAATGTATCAGATAATAATCTTATAAAAATTTAACATGATTTGGACCCAAACAGTAAAGTTGTTGAGTGAATAATGGGCCCGAAAACTAGGATGGCTGAGGGACAATGGATTCTAAAGTGGGAGTCCATAAATCCAGTCTTTCTATAAAGCAAAGAAATGATTCCGAACATCTCTCCTGAAAACAGAAATTTGAAACTATGAGCCTTCTTCCCGCCTTAACACCAACTTCTCTTACCTCTCACCAAAATCCCAAAAACCAACCTTTATCTTCTGTCCCAAATCACCAAATTTCCCTTCAACCCTTACAATCTGTAGTCTCATGGACCTCTTCAATTTCTCGTCATTGTCGCGCTGGCAGACTCTCTGTAGCTGTCCAAGAGTTTACACGCATGAGACTTGCTGGTGTTGAGCCAAATCATATCACCTTCGTTACCCTCCTTTCGGGTTGTTCTGAATTTCCATTAAAAGGAGGGGATCTGGGTTCTTTGATTCATGGGCATGTTTGCAAATTGGGGTTAGATAAAGAAGATGTTATGGTGGGCACTGCGCTCATGGAAATGTACGCTAAAGGAGAACGAGTGGAAGTTGCTAAGTTGGTTTTTGATCTGATGAAGGTGAAGAATTCGGTTTCATGGAACACGATGATTGATGGGTGTATGAAGAATCGGGAGTATGAGAAAGCAGTTGAGATGTTCGATGAAATGCCTGAACGAGATGTCATTTCTTGGACCGCCCTGATTAATGGGTTTTCTAAGAGGGGTTTTTATGAAGAAGCTTTGGATTGGTTTCGAGAAATGATAATCTTTGGGGTTAAGCCTGACTATGTGAGTATAATCGCTGCTCTCACAGCTTGTGCTAATTTGGGTACTCTTACCGTTGGCTTATGGGTTCATCGGCTTGTTCTAAAGAAAAGCTTTAGAAACAATGTTAGAGTAAATAATTCATTAATTGATATGTATTCGCGATGCGGATCTATAGAATTCGCTCGTGAAGTTTTTGACAAGATGCAGGAGCGAACATTGGTCTCGTGGAATTCAATCATTGTGGGGTTTGCTGTTAATGGGTTTGCAGATGAAGTTTTGAAATATTTTGGAGCAATGCAGAAAGAAGGGTTTAAACCAGATGGGGTCAGCTTTACTAGAGCATTTACTGCTTGTAGCCATGCAGGTTTAGTAGATGAAGGGTTCCATTATTTTGATATTATGAAAAGAATTTATAGGATATCACCCAGGATCGAGCATTTTGGTTGCATAGTTGATCTTTATAGCCGTGCTGGGAAGTTGAAAGAAGCATGGAACGTAGTACAAAATATGCCTATGAAGCCAAATGAAGTTGTATTGGGGTCATTTATTAGCTGCATGTAGGTATCATGGGGACATTAACTTAGCCGAAAGGATAGTGAAGAACCTTGTGGCATTGAACCCTGGTAGTGATTCCAATTATGTACTGCTCTCAAACATATATGCAGCACTTGGAAGATGGGAGGGAGCAAGCAAGGTTAGGAGGAGAATGAAAGCACTTGGGATACAAAAGAAACCAGGTTTTAGTTCAATTGAGATCGATGGTTGTGTTCATGAATTTGTTGCCGGTGACAAGTCTCATATGGAAAAAGATTGTATTTATGCAACACTAGAGTTGCTCGCCTTTGATCTAATGTCATCCGGGTATGCCCCTGAAATTGTTACAAGACAATTGTATGAAAGTGATTAAACCCATCAATAAGTAATAAGAAACAAGCGCATTGATTCTTTCGTACCAAATAACTTGCAATATGAGTCAAATTACAACTTGAATTTACATATGGAGAACTTTAAATGTACGATTGGAAGGTTAATTGCCTGTATCCAACACCCAGTCAGCTTCTGTAACATCAAGGCGCAGTTTTAATAGCAGCAATAGAAATCATATCCCATACAATGAAGAAAACAATTCAAAGAAGCAAAATTCAAGTTCGTCCTACAAGTCTTCTTTCCACCCTTTCGGCCACCTCCACTTTCCCGTGAACCCTACAAGCTGCCAACAAAGCATTCCACAAAACCATATCGGTCTCCAACTCCATCCCCATCACCAATTCGTCAGCTTCCTCCATCAATCCCGCCTTCCCCAACATATCCACCATACACGTATAATGCTCCAATTTAGGCTTCACCCCGAACCTTTCTTCCATCTTCTCGAAAACATCCTTCCCCTTTTCCACCATTCCCTCACGACTACATGTAGTCAAAACTGTAGTCAACGTCACATCATCAATCTCCATCCCCATCTCCACCATTTTATCAAACAAAATAAATACTTCCAACGTCATCCCAAGCTTCTCATACCCAACCATCAACGCCGAGTAAGATACATAAGTTCTAACAGGCATTTCGTCAAACACTTTCATCGCACACTCCCATTCACCACATTTTCCATACATTCTAATCAAAGAATTGTTATTTGCCAAATCGGACGAATATCCATTGACCAAAAAAGCCCCGTGGAGCTGTCTTCCAAGGGTTAAATCGGATAAATGGCTGCAAGATTTGAGAACGGGAGGCAAGATCAAAATGTCAAAGGGCTTTTGGGCAATGATCATGTGGTGAAAAATGGCGAGGGATTGAGAGGATTGGTTAAGAGCAGAGTGGGCTCGGATGAGGGAGTTGTAGAGGGAAGTGGGTTGGCGAGAAGTGAAGAAGAAGAGGATATGAGCTTCGCGCATTTGGGAACAAGAAGCGTAGGCAGAGACAAGTTTGGTTCGGACGAAGGAGTGGCTTGAAATATTAAGCAGAATCGTTCTGGCATGAATTTGTTTGAGTTTTTGGAGGGATTTGGTGGATGAGAGCATTCATCCAGAAGGATGCGAAAAAGGGTATGGCTCTGAGTAGGGTATAAACGAGCCGAGTCAAGCTCAACTCGAACTCAAAAACTTTAAATGTTCTACTCGAAAACTCGTAAGCTTAATTTTTAAACTCGACTCAAACTCGAGCTCGATTAAAGCTCAAGACTTGAACTCAATTGAAGCTCGAGACTTGAGCTAAATTGAAGCTCGATTCAAGCTCGTTTCAAGCTCGATTTAAGCTCACAGGTTTAGTTTCATTGGTTGAAACCGATGTGGGATATATACTAAGCTTCTTTTCACTCTCATCTTTGATCTCTGTTTCAAAAACAAAGCTTCTTGAGGAATTTCAGTCCTTACAAACTGAAAAGCCTCTAAATTTTCATCGTTTGAGTTATTTTAAGGTTACCCTTTTGCCCACTTTGGAACTGGAACCTAGGCTTTTCCAAATCAATTTGTATGTTTTCTCGTCAAACTTTGATTAGGAAATAAAAACTGCATGCTTCGAACATTTTCATCTAAACTTGAATTTTTTTTTTGCTGCATGTAGATTCGTATAAACACGCAGCATGTTTATCAATGATAAAAGACAAGACGAAAGAACTGGAAAATATGGAACTTCAAGGCTCCAATATCTTCAGGTAACCTTTTTTGTTTTCAATTCGAATATTAGGGTATCTGTATTTTACACAAGGTTTCTGGGTATAAAATTTCATGTAAAGCAGCATAGAGGAAAACAATTCATTAATTCTTGTTTACCCATTTCGCTTTAGGAATTGGTGAATCAGTTTCAGAACACAACTGATGACGGTATGCTTCATCTTTAGAGCTTCCGTCGTTGCTTATGTTCGAGACCTTTTGTCAATAATCTCCCCTTAGATTAATTGAACTTATTTTATGGGTTAATTCACTATTTTCAGTCAAACTTTCATACTTGGGGATTTAATTGCTTGTTCAGAATGAGTGAAAACATTATCAGATAATTCTGGTTTCGTAAGCTTGTTTAATACTTGTAGTTTGTTTAGAAGAATGTATCAATAATTCCTGACTTGTCAGATTTAGTGTGTTCCAATTTGCCATATTTCTCCGATTCTCTTCATAATTCTTAACTGAATGGGTACTTGTTGAACAGAAACAAAGGAGAAGATTGCTGCAAATTTGGCAAACTTTGCCTATGATCCATATAATTATTCATTCCTGCGTCAGGTTCAAATTCATGTTTTCTGTGAAATTATTTATCTCTCAAATTTGATTAGTGTGTATCAAGTACTTTTTCTGTCACATTAACATCTTACTTTCTCTCGAATTAAAGAACACTGTATGCTCTCGGACTACATAATACTACAAATTTAAAAAACCTGACCTTCGTTACTGACGTATTCGTATTTTATAATCTATCGTTATTTTATTTAATAATTAATTAATTCAAATTAAATATTATAAAATTTTATTAAAAATATATATAGAATTTACATTGTTAATTTTTGTATTTCAATCACATTTGTTTAAATTTTCTTATTTGTTTTAAATGTTCAGGTGTCATTTATGTTATTTTTCATATTATTTTAGCTTAAATCGAATATGATCAATTATATATAAGACCCTGTAGTTTATGCACAATTTATATTTAAGTCATTGGTTTAATTCCAATTTTGTAAGTTTAATTTTATATTTAACCCTAAACCCTAACCCCTAACACATAAACCCTAAATCCTAAAATCTAAACCATAAACTCTAAACATTAAACCATAAACTCTAAAACCTTAAATCCTTAAACTCTAAAACCTTAAATCCTATCACATAAGCTTTAAACCCTTAAATCATATCACATAAACTCTAAACCCTAAACCCTAAATCTTATCACATAATTAGAAGGAATGAGATGGTTTAGTGAAAGGAGATAGAGTATATTTGTTTTTCTTTTGTTTTATGGGGAACAAAAATCTAATAAGAAGCTTCAATCTTTTTTATTTATGTTCCTCTTCTCTTCTCTTTATTTACTGCTTTGATTTTCCAACTCTGTAATTATTACTTTCTTTTTTTTCCAGAGTAGAATCTAGTAATGCATATATATCTGTTTTGTTTTACTTTATATGGTACATGTTAGTAGTAGGGATGATCATTTTCTCTCAAATATGATTTGATGCCATCGATTTTGTTAATTAAGATATTAATGTAAGTCTAAATAAGTTTTTTCTTTCTTAATTCTTTATAAAATCGGTTACACTCTATTTTGATATATTTTTTTAAATTATTAATATTTAAATTGAATCATATTTTTCATTATATTATATTTATTATCAAATAAAAAATTAGTTATGAGTTAAGTACAATATAATATCTTGATATTAAATGCGCAAACCCTTGATATTTATGATATTTGAACTCGAAACCTCAAAATATAACAACAATTTAAAAAATTAGTTATTACAACTATTATCATTAGAAATATATTAAATATTTATCATTAGATAAATAATTTTTTTATTAATTTAAAATAAATATAAGAATATTTATTCAAAAATAATTTTTAATCATTTTCAATTCAAGAATATTTATTCATCAATAATGTATTTTTAATATATTTTTAATAATGTAATTTTAAAAATCTAAAATTATAATATAATATTTTTTTCGGGCTGCTCACGAGTTTTTCGAGTCGAGTATCGAGTAGCTCGTTTCGGCTCGTTAAGAATTCGAGTCGAGTTTGAGCTCGAGTCGAGTCCATTCGATCCGATTATTTATCGAATCTATCTCGCGATCTGTCTCGTCTCATTTACAACCCTAGCTCTGGGACGAACATACATAGCAGAAAGATCAGAAACGGCTGTTCCGTGCCAAATGTTAAGGTAATAACAACTAAAGAAAATTGGGACCTTAGATTCTATTTAGGATGAGTACAATAATAAATAAATAAATATTTTGTTAAAAAAATTATGGAAAACGAAACTTGAATTTGATGATGAACTATATATATAAAGTAAAGTAATTGGATATTGACACTGGTCTGTCTCATTTGTGCTGATATCATAATATATAATATGATTTTGACTGACATGAAAGGGAATAATAATAGTTCCAGCAGGATATCCCAGCATCAGCACTGTCAAATCCTTAATTGTCCATCATACATGTATAGATTTGGTTGAGCAGATGCCGTTATATATATATATATTGCAGCAACATATCTGCTGGCATGCATCCACTGTCACCCTCCTTTGATTATCTTCCAATCCACAATTGGTGCTATGACTACAAACAATTACATCCATCCATCCATCTCATCCTTTCTCCCCCTTTCTTTTGTTTTGATGTCACCATTTACAGTAGAAATATTTACAATCAAATGGCCAAATTCAATATTGTTTGCTTTAGGTATAGGCCATATGATAAAACACATTAATTGTAAACAACCTAAAAACGTTTGCTTTTATATAAAGAACGAAAGGATAGGAGACCATCATGATCAAACAAAAACTACCCTCCTCCAAAAGAGAAGATGGAATCTTGCAAGATTCATATTATACTATTTCAGTAGGGGGCACCCAAAAAACACACGCTAAAACATGGGAAATTAAGGGTCAGTCCGTGGCTTCTTAGGGCTACCACCATTATGGTGCAATGGATCTGGTCCTGATGGCACCGTCCTAAAGCTTTCTCTATTCCCAGCACCGGTTGTTGATCCATTGTCTTCCTTCTGCAGCAGCATCTGCAAGCACCAATAGTTTCATAAGTTTCTTTCAACAGTTAGGAAAAAAAAACTAAACAAATTATCGAACCTTTCTATTTTGAGATGGCTTTTCAAAGGAGCGTCCATGGCCAGAAACGCAGCCTGTTAAACATGAAAAAGATAAGAACATTGACACTAAAAACGGAACCCCAAATGGAGAATAAAGAGAGAGAGGTCGAACTCCAACCACAAACTCCATGCAAGACCAGAAAGCATATGAGGAGCAGCACAAATGCCCTAGTAGCCATAGCAGATTAGCAAGAAAATCTCTTACTAGTAGGAAAACAAAACGAGAGAGAAGATAGAGAGGTGTGAAGAACACAGGGGGATGGTTGCTCCAAATTTATATAGCATTTGAAAATAGTAAATGATTGCATGGTGCAGCCATTTTCACACATTTTCTTTGAGAAATGATTTCTGATAGTATGGCGCCGTTTCAAAAAAATGAGTCATTGGCAACGTCACTCCACAAACATACCAATGCAAATCGTATCTAATTATTGTTCTAAAAGATGGTAGTTCCATTTTTATAGTTTCTTTCTCAGAATCGTTGAACCTTGGAAAAAACCTGGTTATCTATACCGTTATGTTTTCTGATTCCTTTTGTTATATAGTCCAAGTACTGCAGCTGTAGATTTTGTTCTGAGTCCTTAAAGAGGAATAAAGATCCCATTTACACTGTACAAACTGAGTAATTTTCTCATGGAGAGTAGTGCTTATGATGGATAATTATGGTTAAATGGTTGTTTTGTATTTATTTTGGATGTGGGATTGATTGATGGTGATAGGGTGGCGCTAGCTGCTCTTATTCCAGAGGGAAATCTATCAAAGGGTTTTTATCCTTTACCGTGGGTCATATATATATACACCCATAAAGATTTGATTTTTCAACATTGATCTCAATTTAGTTTCGATCAAAGCACACAGCCTATAAGATTTTTGTTAAAAAGTAATGATGATGATATTTGAAAGATTATATTTCTGATATCGAAACTCCTGGTGCTCGTATCTTCAAAGCAAAATATTTCCTGGAAAGCAGTTTCTTGGAAGCCTGCAAAGGCAATAACCCATCTTTTGTCGGCTAAAAGTGCTTGTTCAGGGAAGCCGACGGAGAATTGGAACTGGGGAACTGGGGTTGATGTCGAAGTCTTCAATGATCCTTGGGTGGGTGACGATGATAATTTTTGTGTGGATTCTATTCCTTTACCAGGTTTGGAAGACGGCAAGGTGCATGAATTTCTTGCAGCTGATGGCAAGTCGTGGGATAAAGAGGTGATAGAAGGTGTGTTAGCTCAAGTTGTGGCCTTGATGAGGACTTAAATCATGTTCTAATCAGATGTTCGATAGCCCAAGAAGTGGATCACACCCAATACTAGTTCGGGACATAATTTCATCGTTCACCGGCTGTTACCATCAGCAATAATACTTTCATGGCAGCATTTCTTAGTGTTGATTCTTGTTGACGGAACAACTGGATTAAGTCCACGGTTAACAATTTATCCTTTTTGATTAAAAAAATTATAATCGATTGTTATACGATAGTCATTCAATTGTTATACGATAACATTATTTGGTGTTGTAATCCTCTATCCCTGTATAAGGAAGGAGAGGAGACCAATATATGAAGAATGGTTCCTAAGAAGATTCTCTCTCTTTTTATTTTTGAGTTTGTATGGTGATTCTTTATGCGTACTGGTGTTAGACATATGATCATGATTATTATCCGCATACTAATATGATAAATTAATATGATGGACTATCAATATATTTTGAATTTTGTTAGACATTTTAAGTCTATCGATAATCTTATCAAGAGATAATAATTGATATGAATAAGAGAAGGGATGATACTTAACTCCAGAGTTATAGCGTTTAACTTTGAAGGTATAACATTCGTTTCCTTTATTGTGAGAATGTCATAAAGTTGTTTGATTAGAGATTTATGCGTGAAGGTATTTTTTTACGTATGCAATTTGTGCAGAGGATTATCTTAGACTTTATTGGGATACCTCTGCTAATCCAAAATAGTTGTTTTCTTTTAAAATGACATTTTAGATTTAGTTGAGTGGCCTCGAAGATATCTTCATATTTATGTGAATTTCTTTGCTAAGGATTTTCGGAGCCTTTGAAAATTATTGTTATGTTAAAAAATAAAAATAATATTACTCGGTGTTGCTTTCGAGCCTGTGTATCTTCACAAGATGCCTAATGTTTTTAGGGTATTTTAACAAAATATATAAAAGAGTCTCAATGATAATGTTAATTTAAGATTAAAAATTTATAAATTAATATTATAAATATAAATATTAAAATTATAATTATAAACATATAAAAAAATTATAACATAAAAATATTTTAAACAAAAAAATTATACATTTGACTATGATATAAACTTAGATTTCTGGTGTATTGTTTTTAAAGGAATATTGTTGATAAATTTATTATTATGAATTAAATTTAAAGAGAATTGACGAGTTTCATGCTATATTTGTTGAGTTTGAGGCATTTTCGGTGAAAATGACATCGGATGTGCGTTTAATAGGTAAAAAAAAGAGTGAATTGAAATTTTTGGATCTAACAATCGACGACAACGATCGATACCGACTGACAATGACTGATGATGAGTGGTGGTCAACGATGGTAGACTTTAGTTGAATGCAGAGATTAAATTGATATTTTACATAGAGTCTAGAGGTCAGAATAATATTTCATTTGAAGTTTAAGATCAAATTAGAATTCTATCTAGAGTTGGTTAAAATAAAAATTAACCTCTTTTTACGAATATATCACTTCATAAAGTTAACCTGAGTTAACAATACAATAAAAAGAATATAACAATTGATAAAGTAAGTGATTAGAATTTAATAAATCGATAATGTAAGTGATCGAAACATAATTTTTTTGAATTTAGTGAGCAAAAATGTATAATCATAAATGCAAAGTGACCAATTTGGTATTTTACCCAATTTAAAACTAATCTTTTTTAAGATTTCATCAAACTAATATTTAACATATTAGTGACCAAAATATTATAAAATAATAACAAAAACGATCAAAATGTTATAGATTGATAACGTAAGTGGTTAAAATATTATTTTTTTAAATTCAGTAATCAAAAGTGAATACTTATAAAATAAAATTTACCATTTCGATAGTTTACCCAACAGTGCCGAGGAGTGAAATAAAAGAGGGAAAGCTTTAGAGAATTCAACAGCAATGTGGAAAAAAGGCGGTTACGACCGTCGGCAAAGATTTCAATGACTTTGAAAAATGCTGGTATTTTCAAAACGAGTCGTATGGATATTGATGAAATGCACCGGCAGGATTGGTGGAGAAGCGAAGATTCCGGCAACTGTTTCGAGATCAAGAGAAAAATCTGTCAAAACGAAAATGATTTTTCGAAACAATTTTCCGCTGCTCCTTTTGTTTTGAATTTTTTGTTTTGTTTTCTTTTAAGTAAAACATACAAGAAAAAAGAAAAGGATAGCCAGGAAAGAGTTAATAGCAATGGAGTCGAGAATGGATCATTATGAGATCATGGAACAAATCGGCCGTGGAGCTTTTGGCGATGCCATTCTCGTTTATCACAAAACTGAGAAGAAAAAGTACTTTTTATTTTTTTATTTCTCAATTTCTAATTTTAATTGTGTAATTTGATTGTTTGAACATTTTTTTTAATCGCAGGTATGTGTTGAAGAAGATCAGATTGGCGCGGCAAACGGAGCGTTGTAGGAGTTCTGCACATCAAGAAGTTAGTTGTTACATCTTTTTAAACACTTTAATCTGTTTTCGCGTTAAAGGAATAGCGAGTTTAATATTCCAACTTACAATTTAGTTTCGATTTTTGTGTAATGTAGATGACACTTCTTTCGCTAATTCAACACCCTTACGTTATTCAATTTAAGGTAGCCTGGGTTGAGAAAGTAAGATACCGGACTAATTTTTTTCTTCTGCTAGGATTCTCGACTCAAAATCTGCTTATACTTTTATCTTGTTGTGTACATGACTGCCTTGTTTATTTTATTTTATTTTATTTTGAGTTTTGTAATTGTTATGTAGGGATGCTATGTTTGCATTGTTACTGGATACTGCGAAGGTGGAGATATGTGAGTTTCCGTGTTTGTATGGAGAACTTGATTCGTAGTGTTTTTGTTTATACAAATCCTGCAAAATTTGCATTTTTTTAAATATTGTTCTTTTTAATTTTCTAACAGGGCTGAATTGATGAAAAAAATCAAATGGGATCTATTTCCCGGAGGAGGTAATCTAATTTCTCTACACCTATTGATTTTACAAGTTAGTTTCTTCTTAGAGTCGTGTGGCATGGTGAAGGTTCCCCGTTGGGGTTTCCGGCCTCCCTGGTCCCCATCTAATTGTGGAAGAGGGTAAGTGGTTATGCAGAAGCTCTGCAAGTGGTTTGTGCAGCTACTTCTGGCAGTTGAATATCGGCATTCAAATTTTGTTTTGCATCATGACATAAACGTACGTATGTTAATTGACATTGGTCTTTCTATTATCTTAATGTTCTATGGACTTCTTAATCACTTTTTTTTGTAGTGTTCCAATATTTTCCTTACCAAAGATCAAGATGTACGGCTTGGTGAGTTTGTCTTTTCTTCTTGGTTTCTTAGAGGTTCTTTTCTCTTTGTTTCCTATTAAGTTATGTTAGATATCCTACCTTATTGTCTATTCTGCGATTGTTATCCTAAACTCCTTTCTGGTCTGTCCTGGTTTAGGGGATTTTGGGCTTGCTAAAACTCTAAAGGAAGATGATTTGGATTCCTCAGTATGTACTTTGTAATGAAATGATTTTTTGACATACATTTTCCCGTTAACCTTTTTTCAACCATGTCCAAAGATGGTAAAGAATTTTTCTGGATAATTTCTTTTAGCTTTTCTCTTCCTTGTCTTCCTACTGTTGGGTACAATAAGCTTATGCTATGAAGATTGAAAATGCAGTTTTGTGTTAATATTTGTGTTCTGTTTGCTGATGCCTCAATTTCCTTCACTTTTATGATAAAATTTCTTGCATGGTAGCATATTACTCATATTCTGTAATCAATAACATATTCCACTCTTCCACATTGGCTGTTACAGTCTAAAATAGTAACATTTTCTGGAAAAATAATATGTTTGGTTAAAATGAACAGTCATAGTGTGTGCAAAGCTTGCAGTTAAACTCATTGCTAATTTTACTTTTATCTATTGAGAACACTTGATCATTTTTAAGGAAAGAATTAAAGTGAAAGAGAATTACTTGGTGACACCATAGTATTTTTCGGGATTGATGGCTTCATTACTTAGGAATTGAAATTATGTGCATGTAAGCAACTTCTGGTTACTTGGTCAAAGTGTGTTACATTTGATGATAGGAGAGATGTATTTAACATTTTTAATGGTCTTGTATTTATAATTTATTGTAAAAGAGCCTAAAATTTGACCAACTGGAGTGCTGTTAAATTAACTGTCATTCATGTTGTTTCGATCATAAATGTCCAAAGACATTGTTTATAACTGTACTATTGGGTTAGATTTTGTACTCCTCAATCCCCGCTCTCATACTCAATACATTTGCACTAAGGCAGTGGGGAGGAGGGAGTTGAAACCTGCACCTTGAGCCTCCAATGCCATGAGTATGAGAACAACCACTAGTCTAAAACTCGGTATTTTCAAACCCTTATATTGACAATCAGCAATACTCATTTACCTTTGATATTGTTGTTTTATTTTTGCATTTATTTTTATATTATAATGTGCTAATTATTTTTAGTTCCAGTGCTAGTTAAAGTTGTTTTGTATGTGCCTCAGTTGGTTGGAACTCCCAATTACATGTGTCCTGAACTGCTTGCAGATATTCCTTATGGTTTTAAGTCTGATATCTGGTCTCTGGGTATGTCTTTTCTTTTGTGTTACAAATATATGTGTGTTTATATATAAGTTGAATTGCTTTTTCTTGAACAGGGTGCTCTATGTATGAGATGGCTGCTCGTCGCCCTGCTTTTAAAGCTTTTGCAAGAGTTCTTGCAATTCTTCTGGAACCTGGTTGAATCTGTTTCTTGTGTTCAGGAATGAGTTTACTCAGTTTATGCCATTCTGATGAATAGCACTTCCATTTGATGTTATATTAAAAGGAAATTAAAGTTTCTTTCCCCTCACTTTTGTATTATTGTGGAATTTATTCATAACAATTTTCCATGAATTCTGCCCTCCACTCTTTAAAATAATGCTTTCAGTGTAGTTAATGTCATCTTATTGTCTAGTGTGATGTTATGTCCTTTGAGAGGTTTTCCATAAACTACTAATTGTATGCCTCCACTAACCATGTAATTTATACAAATTTATTTCAATTAAATTTATTGAAGTTCTTGTTCTAGGACATGGCAGGGTTGATAAGCAAGATAAATCGTTCCTCTATCGGCTCTTTGCCTTCTTGCTACTCTTCATCATTGTAAGCCTTAATATTAATTTTAGTGCTCTCACTTATTGTACCTTCTCATGATAACTGAGTATGTCTTTGTGATTTTTCATGCTCTGAATGTTTCTTCATTTGCTTTTTAATTATTCTTTTATGCTACGTTTGGTAGGAGCTTCTCATGATAACTGAGTATGTCTTTGTGATTTTTCATGCTCTGACATTGCTTTTCTACCCTCGCATGTTTCTTCATTTGCTTTTTAATTATTCTTTTATGCTACGCTTGGTAGGAGTTTTATTTTTTCCTCATGTTTTAGTACCTAAGTTAGCAATAAACTAGCATCACTTGGTAATATTTAGGCACTCACCTGACTTAATTTGAATAAGGAGAAAGAATGTATATTACTTAGTTTGCGTAGGTATTATTTTTTACTTGAGTTTTCACTCATCTTTCTAACGTCAAGTTTAGATTTATTCTATTTCTTTCTTTGCTATGAAAAATTATTTTAAAACTCATGTAATAATTAAGCTTTTTCCAGATGTTAATATTTATGTACCTAACATGACATTAGGTTTCAATAACGTGCAGATCTCTTGTTTCTTCCCTTTATAAGGAAACAAAAAGTGAATTTTCATTTAAAATCCCGAGGGATTCATCGATCTGTATTTTGGTAGATGATTAATGCTATATATTTTGTCAAGTAATCAAGTCCTCACTACATGGTTGTTATCTGTTCAATGTTACTTAATCTGTTCAATGTTACATGCACAGGAAAGCAGTTATCAAGGGCATGCTAAGAAAGAATCCTGAGCATCGACTAAGTGTAAGTTTCTTTTTGCTCAATCCTAAGGATTCTCCGCATGCAGGACTTCAGTGTAACATTTTGAGTTTTCACCTTGATCAGGCATCAGAGCTTTTGAAGCACCCTTATTTTGCAGCCATATGTTGACAAGTATAGTCCATTCAGCTGCCTTTTGAAGAACTGCTGCGTGGATAAGCATATTACCACTGGTCGTGGTAATAGGAAAAATATTGCCGAGAGTCAAAAGTAGTAATAGCTCATGTAATGACAAATTTAGTTTGCTTTCAAGTCACAGAAACACTGCCACCAGGCTTTCAAATAGGAATAATAACGCCACTAACATGGATTCCAATTCTAAGGAAGAAGAGATCTGTTCCATTATTTTCTCTGGTAAAGTTGATGAAAAAGGAATGTCGTAACCTTCTCATGTGGAACAGGGATCTAATGTTCAATCAAGGCAACCAAAAACCATAAAAAGCATAGTAACGACTTTGAAATAAAGGAAATTAAGAGAAAGTGGTTCTCCTATGAGAGATAGCTGTACAAAAGCTGCAGGTGGATTGACTCGAAGAAATAATATGGAGGCATCACCCAAAGTTCTCAAATCTCCTGCTCCAGCTCCAAGTTCAAAATTTAATGCAAATACACCAACTGTTGCTTCAATGAAATTACTATTAGATTGTGCAAACAAGATGCCAGGATCACACCATTTGAAGCACCAGGTATGACTACCACTTAATGGTATAATCTTAATCTAATTTGTTATCAATATCCTCACTTTGCAAAGTTCCTCTCCAGTTAGGTGTAATTGAACCCTCTTCCCCTAAGACTAAACCTAGACATGAAGGGATTCTTCCACCTGCAACGGGGAAACATATTGCTGAAGACGATCTGCCTTCTAAAACAGAATTACTTCCAATGTTGCAAGATCATCTGTTACAGTAAAAATTAAGCATGCTGGAAGTGATGTTTCAAATGGGGCAAGTAACAGGACCAAATTAGGATCTTCAGAAGTACAGGATCGTGAGGCTATTTCTCACCAACTGCCCAACGGTTACCCTACAGATGCTTCTGGGGTGGTACAACAAGACACCGAGATAGCTCTAAGCGGGGCTACCGAGAGGGTGCAAACAGACAACAGCACTTCTGTCTCACCTGCAACCTCAATTCAAGCACTTAAGGTTTGTGATGGCGCAACAACCACTTTTATTGACACAACAGAACAGACACAGATTCATCAGATGATCGCCGACATTAAGAGCTTAGAATCACATCCATCATGCCACTCACCTGCTCTGAAATCAGAGATGCACGAGGTTCTGTTGAGAGAAAACTACAGGTTGGATAATGAATATGTCATGTTTTCAACTGAAGAATCTGTCATGTTTTCAACTGAAGAATCTGTTCCAGCTCAGGCTCATTTCA